GCAGGGAGTCTGCCTCTCTCTCTGACCCTCCCCCCTCTCATGCTCTCTATCTCATTCTCTCTCTCAAATAAATAAATAAAATCTTTAAAAAAAAACAAAACAGTTTTGGCCTCTGAATCTTGGGGATCATGACCTCCTCAGGTTGTGATGTATGTTTCCTGTTCTCTGTCCTAGCTGGGTCTGCCAGAGATCTTGTTCAGTTTTCTGGTCTGGAGACAAGCCTCTGACTAGTCCCCTGATGACTGTGGAGTTGGTGACCCTTTCCCTTCTCCCTTCTGTCTCCTGGCCACCTCTGGCTCTTTTCTGAAGGAAGAATCTGCATGAAATCTAACTACTTCTTTTGGGGCCTGCCCAAGTCAGCTTCAAGATCAGGATGAGACTTTTTTTCTCACTTAAGGTTCATCTCCTTCCGTGACAGGCCTGCTCAGTGCCTGTGTTTAGGTTTTCTTCCCTTGAATGAAAAGTGACTGTATTTCCCTTTGGCTAAGAAAAGCAGACCCATATGATTATTCTCTTGTGATACTTCTAGGTTATTTAAATCCCAAGAACGCTTTCTCCTGACCATGCTTTCTTGGAGCTAAATTTCTTCTGTTTCCAGATTCTGGGATCAGATCTTCCCTAAATGATGATTCGTACAACTAGAAGACAGTTATGTTTGCTTCAGAAATTATATTAAACATTAAATATATAGTAATTTCCTTTCAGAAATGTTTTGAAATCTCATTTAAAAAAAGGTAAAGCCACTCAGTTCCCACCCTGGAATCTCATCATTTATAAAAACATGCTCAAATGTCAGCGACAGGGAAGTTGGGAAACCTGCAAACACATCAACGAATGAATTCAGATTCCAACAGAACACAGTGCTTTACAGCTAATAGCTTGTTTTTCATAGTTCCTGATATTTTCAGAAAAGTTGAAATAAATTTGTTCCCTAAAAAAAAAAAGGTAAAGCCATGTCCAGACCTGTGTGAGAAGGGTGCAGTGGCATTTTGGTTTTCCCTGTCTTTTTAGACCAAGTGGCCAATGCAGTCATATCAGGTGTGATTCAGGTAGAGGTATTTGGTCAGGACCTACAGTGTCTAAGGCCCAAAGCCTGTGGTAGACTGGCCATTTCTCCCTGTGAAGTCCCCAAAAGAAATACATGCACAAAGGACAAAGCAAGGCAGAGGAGCAGTTCTTTATTAACTGAGGCTTTGACCCAAAAGCCAGAATGATGACGCCAGCCCAGCTTC